CCTAGGCCGACGAGGTCGAAGACTAATACCATATAGAGATCTTAAAACCTCAATGATTAAATGCACCATAATAAGAGAGAAATTTTGAATTATTGATGCAAATGAAATGGCAATGTAAATGTAAAGTTTGAGGTATTACATCCTCCACTCATTATAAAAATTTCGTTCTCGAAATTTGCTTACCCGAAAAATCAGAATATTTAACATGCATTTCATCTCTCCTTTCCCAAGTGGCCTCTTTTGTTGACTGATTTCACCACAATATCTTAATCAACGGAATTTTCTTGCTCCTAAGTTTTTTTAACCTCTCGTTGAAAAATCTTTACCTATTTTTCTTCATAAGTCAAATTTGATTTTATCTCTTTTGATTCATTCTTCATCAATGAGAATGATTTTCAATGTATTTTCTTAACATGGATACATGAAGCACTTTGTGCACTTGAGACATTGATGATAGAAGGTCAAGATTCTAAGTAACATTTCCAATTCTCTCTATAATAGAAAATGGATCAATGTATCTCGGGCTCAATTTTCATTTCTTTCCAAACTACATAACCCCCTTCATTGTCGCTACCTTCAAAAATACTTGGTCTCTGACTGTAAATTCTAGCATTCTCGTTCTTCGGTCTGCATAGATTTTCTGTGGATTCTAAGCAGTTTGCATCCACTGGCGTATTAGTGTCATAATTTCAGCTTTTACACAAACCATATATGGACCTAAATGTTTCCTTTCTCCAATCTCATCCCAATAAACTAGAGATCTACATTTTCTATTGTATAATGCTGCATAAGGAGCCATTTCAATAGTAGCCTTAATAACTATTGTTGTATGCAAATTTCACCAACGACAATAATTTACTCTACTAGCTTTGGAAATTCAATATGCAAGCCCTCAACATATCTTCCAGTATTTGTATTGTTTTTTCTAATTATCCATCATTTTGAGGATGATAAGCTGTGTTAAAAGATAACTGTGCTCCCAAAACCTTATGTAAGGTTTTCTAAAAGAAAGATAAGGACTTAGAATCTTTATAAAAAGAAATATAGAGCGGCACACCATGAAGTTTAACTATTTCCTGTACATAAATCTATGCAATAAATGGAACAAAATGGAATGAAATTAGCTAATTTGGTCAACCTATCCACAATAACCTAAATAGTATCGTATCCTTTAGTTGTTTTTGGTAAATTTACCACAAAGTCTATTGTGATTCTCTCCCATTTCAACTTTAGGATAGGTAATGCTTATAAGGTTTCTGCTGGCCGTTGATATTCTGCCTTCATCTATTGACATGTTAAACATTGTCCTACATATTCGACTATCTCACCTTTCATGTTCGACCACCAATAATGCAACTTCAAATCTCTATACATTTTAGTAGTTCTTAGATGAACAGAATATGGTGTTGTGTGTGCTTCAGATATAATATCACATCTAATATTTTCTGCATCAGGTACATACAATTGCCCTTTAAATTGCAAGATACCATTTTCCAACATCTGAAAGTCTGAAACTTTTCCAAAATGTATACCATTCTTTACCTTGGAACAATAATAATCTTCATATTGCCCTTACTGAATTCTATTCAATAAAGTTGGCTAAAGTGTCAATGTTGCAAGTTTAGCCTCTACATATCCTTGCGATACGATTTTAAAATCCATTTTCTACAAGTCTACCGATTTGATTTTTATGTCACAATAATAGCTATAACACTAGATATTGATTTTCTTAACGAATAAGCTTAACATTAGCCTTACCAAGGTGGTAATTGACAACACAATCATAATCTTTTACCAACTCTAGCCATCTTCATTGTCTTATATTCAATTCCTCTATGTGAATAAATATTTTAAACTTTTGTGATTAGTATAAATCTTACAATGGTCCCCATACAAATAAGGCCTTCTTATTTTAAGAGCAAATACAACTGTGGCAAGCTCAAAGTCATGTGTATGATAATTC